AAACCTTTGCACCAGTAACTAAGATGAGTTCAGTTCGTATTCTTTTATCTCTAGCAGCCACCTATTCATGGCCATTGTTCCACATTGATGTCAAAAATGCTTTCCTCAATGGTGATTTACAGGAGGATGTATATATGGACATTCCAACAGGCTTTTATGAAAATGTTGGTAAAGGAAAGGTGTGCAGACTCAGAAAATCTCTGTATGAACTAAAATAGTCACTTAGGGTTTGGTTTGACAGGTCCAGATGGGCATTCATCCGTTTTGAATACACACAGACATAGTCTAATCACACCCTCTTTGTGAAGAGGAGAGATGCTTTGGTGTCAATTCTGATTGTGTATATGAATGATATAGTAGTGATAAGAAATGATCTAGAGGAGATTGATGATGTCAAAAAATCATTGTAGCAAGAATTTGATATCAAAGATCTTGGTGAGCTCAAAAACTTCTTAGGGATTGAAGTTGCAACATCCAAGCATGGAACTTCATTTTACAGAGAAAGTATGTACTTGACCTACTACGAGAGACTGGGAAACTGGGGACCAAACCAGTAGACACTCCTATTGATCCAAATCATAGAATTAATGGTGTGGATGGCGAATTGGTAAAGGATGTGGGGAGATATCAAATAATGGTAGATCGACTGCTGTATCTGTGTATGGCACAACCAGATATTTCTTATGCTGTCAGTATTGTGAGTTGGTACATGCATGTACATCGGGATCAACACTGGGAAGCTATTGAGATAATACTTATATATCTGAAAAAACACCCTGGCAAAGGTATTCTTTTCTCAAATCATGAGAATCTGAAGCTAGAATCCTATACAGATATAGACTAGGCAGGACGCTTAGATGACGGGAGGTCTACATCAGGAGTGTGCACCTTTGTAGGTGGAAACTTGATCTCCTAGAATAGTAAGAAGCAAGCGGTTGTGGCAAGGTCAAGTGCAGAGGCTGAGTATAGATCCATGGCTCATGGTGTCTCAGAACTTCTTTGAATTAGATCTCTTTTGAGTGAAATTAGGGTGAAAGCAGAAAAATCTATGATGTTATACTGTGACAATCAAGCTGCAATCAATATTACCCACAATCCAATTCAACATGATAGGACAAAACACATTGAAGTTGATAGACACTTTATAAGAGAAAGGGCAACAACCGGAGAAGTTTGTTTGCCTTATGTATCTTCAGAGTTGTAGCTGGCTGATGTTCTCACTAAAGAAGTGGCAAGGAACAAGCTTGAACATGATCTACRCAAGTTGGGAATGTGTGACATTTACTCCCAGCTTGAGGGGGAGTGTTGAAGATTAATTAGTTTTATGATGTTTTTTTGAGTAGATGTTTGTGTTAGTTGTTAGATAGGAGGTGAGGACCACAGTAGTTATGTGAGTCCGAATTTTATTATGTTTTTTGAGTGTTATATATGTTGTTTTATGTTTTGCCGCCCTATAAGGGTATAGTTGTATTTGTATTGTTCTATTATTTTAGTATAAATAATAAGTGAAGGGGGCGGCCAGAATTATTGCTCTTTTCTTTCAACTTCTCTTATTCTCTTCTCATTCTCTCTTCCTTCTCTCTTCAAGAAACTACTTTCTTTCATATTTTTTAATTCAGCAGATTTCTACTAAAGAGTACACACAGACCTATGGTGTTGATTATTTAGAGGCATTTGCACCGGTTGCAAAGATAATCTCTGTTCGGATACTTCTTTCTCTTGTTGCCTCATATTCTTGGCCTTTGTTTCAACTTGATGTGAAGAATGATTTCCTAAATGAGGATCTGCAAGAGGAAGTGCATATGAATCTTCCTGCTGGCTTTTACAGTAATACTGAAAAGGGAAAGGTATGTAGGCTTAAGAAGTCACTTTATGGCTTGAAACAATCTCCTAGAGCATAGTTTGACAGATTCAGAAAGGCCTTGATTGCTTTTGGATACACTCAGACTCAATCCGATCATACCTTATTTGTGAAGAGAAGGGGATCTTTGGTGTYGGTCCTAATTGTTTATGTGGATGATATTGTTGTCACGGGGAATGACCTAAGTGAGATTGATTGTCTGAAAAGGAATCTACATAAAGAATTTGAAATTAAGGATCTTGGAAAACTGAAATACTTCCTATGCATTGAAGTTGCAATATCAAAACATGGAATTTTTATCTCTCAAAAGAAGTGTCTTGGATCTTCTTCAAGAGACAGGGAAGCTTGGAACAAAGGCAATCAGTACCCCTATTGATCAGAATCATAGAATCAATGCATCAGAAGGTAAATCAGTAAAAGACATTGGGATATATCAGAGACTTATGGGTCGGCTACTATACTTGTGTATGACAAGACCAGACATTTCCTATGTAGTAAGTGTGGTAAGCCAATACATGCATGCTCCACGAGTCTAGCATTGTGAGGCAATTGACAGGATTCTTGCTTATCTAAAGGGACATTCGGGCAGAGGCATATTTTTTATTGATCATGTACAGTTGAAACAAGAGGCTTATACAAATGCAGATTGAGCAGGATGCCTTGATGACAGAAGATCAACTTCAGGAGTATGCACCCTTGTCGGGAATAACCTTATCACGTGGAAGAGTAAGAAACAAACAGTGATGGCACGATCAAGTGTTGAAGCTGAGTACAAGGCCATGGCACATGGAGTTTCAGAACTTCTCTGGATTCATTCCCTATTAGAAGAAATTAGTGTACAGGCGGAAGAACCTATGATGTTATACTGTGATAACCAGGCAGCAATTAACATTGCCCATAACCCAGTCCAGCATGACCGAACTAAGCACATTGAAGTGGATAGACATTTTATTAAAGAAATAGTAACTTCTAGAGAAATTTGTCTTCCATACATTGCTTCTGATCTGCAACTCGTGGATGTTCTTACAGAAGGTGTTGCAAAGAACAAGTTGGAGTATGATCTACGCAAGTTGGGAATGTGTGACATTTACTCCCAACTTGAGGGGGAGTGTTGAGTTGGGCCTAGTTGTTTTTTATTCTTATTTTAAGCTATTTAGTTAGGAAATTGTTGGGCTTTAGGCCCATTAGTTTATGTTTTTAAGTTGTGACTGTTTAGCTACATTAGTAGCCGCCCTACTAAGGGCATCTTTGTAATATCTCATCCTTTAAGTTAAGTATAAATATAATGAGGGATTGGCGGCTAGGGTTAATTCAAGAATCCTGATTGACTTCCTACCCATTTCTCCCTCTCTTTTCTTCTCTACTACTAAAATCTTTATCTTCCTCCCCTTTTCCTTTCACAAGAAATTCAACTAAATCTACAATCAGTGATTTCTACTATGAATAATCAGGTAATTATGAAATGGAATCCTTCCCTAGTTGGCTAGTATAGGATTAATTTTTATGGAGAGACTTTTGCTGCATTATCTAGTGTTGGTGTGGTGATTAAAAATTCACAAGGTCGGTTTGTGGCATACTTGTCTAGATCTGGTTATCCCTGTTTGGATATTGAAAACTGAAAACTTGGCTTATTCTCTTGGACTTTCATGGTGGTTAATCTTAACCTACTGCCTACAACATATATTTGTTGGAAACAATTGTTAGGACGTAATACATTCCCTATTGGAAGAGAAGGCTCTTCCTCCTTGGCATATGTATTAGGGTTGTTAAAGGGCCGAGTATATCAATGGTTCAAAGTATCGATACGATATACAACGCCTGTTTCCAGGTGTTTCGGACCCCCAATTTTTTTTAATAATAAAAAACAGGTTATAAGCTTTCCAAAAATCCAAACTTTGAAAAAAAAAATATTTTGGCCATTTCTAAGTGCCAATACAATACGGCCGAAACTCGTATCGTATCGATACTTTAAACCTTGGGTCTATCCGACAGAATTGGGCCAATCAAACCAGAAATGTCAGTTCTGCTCCGTGGTTTTGTCCTGATTAGTAATTGGGTCAGGATAAGTTCCCGCTGTTCCAAACCAATTATACAGTTAATAATATATAAAGGCCACTTGGTTTTCTTATAATTTTTGTTAACATTTTATGTCCAAAAAGGGTAAATTTCATAGATTGCATGTAAGAATTTTGTTTAAAAACTTGTTTTATCAACATTATCTATCAAAAATAAAGTTTATGTTGTTATTTATTATATGTAACTATAGATCTCAACTCTCAAGTATAATTGGATTTAATTGGGTCAGACCTAATTGTCCGATGGTTCTGGTCTGCCATATGGAACTGGTTAATAATCGGTTCGGGACCAATACAGCCTGTCCTGAACCAACCCATTGATAGCTTTAGTGTACTCATCACTAGGTGCAGGAATTTACTAAAATCTTTTTTAATATTTACTAGTTGTCTGCTCAGTCTAGACATGTGAGCCTCCTTGTATTAGTTAACTACTGTATGAGGTTTTCCTTTATGTTTTGATCGATAGTTGAATGAATTTGGCTTATTAGCTTAAAAAAACTATAACATTACTCTCTCTAAATCCTATATTTATGACAAGATTTTCAAATTCAAATTTGTTCAATTGAATTTTTCATATGCCATTAAATTCCTCTAATAACTGTAATCCATAATTTTTCGTATAAAAATGCCAAATGAGAAGATGTGAACCTTGGTCTAAATTGAGAGCTAACAAATCTACTACTTGCTCCAATTACTCGTCACAGCTAGTTAACTACATGAATTTTGAATCTTAACTTTTATAAATTTCTCCTTAATGTTCCCAATAAATATAAAAAATTGATTATTAAAACTTATATATTTATAAACATGAAGACAAATTATATTCCATCATTTTTCAACATTTACCAAGTGTTGTCTTGTAGTTCACATAAACCATTAAAGTATGCACTTATATATACATTAATTATGGATTTTTTTAGTTATCTAAAACTTATATTTATTATTACGGATGGAATTTTTTGACATAATTACATATCTTAATTTCCAAAGCATATCGCCAAACATCTCTTAAAATTGTCTTTTTATGATACTCTTTGTATTTCCTATAGTTTTCAGAAATTGAATGATCTCATTTTAAAAGTTCACTCTTTGTGCAGGGGTTTTGATATCTAAAATATGTAACAGAAACATATGTTGATACGCTGATAAACATCATGTAGGTAATACATACACATGCAAACGCATATATCATCCATTGATTCCTTTCCCTTCACATACGTCGCAGACAGTATATCCAAGGCCTTCACAATATGGACACTTCGCTCCTTCGTCTACCCACTCCAAAAACTACACAAATGACAAATCCAAACAAAATATCAGTAAGGGATCCAACAAAAGGGAAGAGCAAAGTATCGTGACGCTGTAAAATGACAACTTACCTGTGGTTCAATGTTGGGTTCACCTGTTCCATCACATTCTGCAACCAAGCAACAGCTTACATTTGTAAGTCCGCACAAATGTACCAAATTATTCCTATTTTTCCCTTTTTTAGTATCAATATCTTTTCCTCCCAAAAAAGCCTGAACCCCACAAACCTTTTAGTAATTTTTTTTCCTTTTTTAGATAAGTTTTTTTTTTTGGTTCCTTTCTCTTGAGGGGAGAGCTCTGTAACTAGACTTCTAATTGATTCTTTTGGAACTGTTAAACATGTACTGATACATGCAACTAAAAGATCGCCCGACTTTCTTCTCTCCTGATTCTCAAATCTCAATAACTTTGTTGACCATGGTATGATAACAAAATTTCAGGACTTCAATTTTAATATATGTTATATGTACAAAAGGATCATAAAACTTCTCTCTAGATCAAAGAAAAGGGCAATATCCCTCAAATAGGCTAATTGTTGTAGCAACATAAAGCGAATGCCCACCTGTGCACAATAAGTGGCCTTCTCCGCGACAAGCAAGGCACTTTGTTGTAGGAGATTCAGGTTTATCTCCACCAATTTTTTTATCCCTGCCTCTGAGTCTGGACGGTTCTTCCCACCGGTTCTCTCCAAGAAGAAATACTCTCTGTTGAGATACTTCAATTTCTGTAGCACCATCTTCCTTCACAACAGTCTCCTGAATCTCAGAGATTTCTGTCACAGAAACAACAGCAGCTCCATTTGCACCCTCCTGGGAAACAGAGAACCAGCTCAATCATGAACCTAGAAACCATAAAGCTACAGTGAGCAATGATAATATGACAACTTTGAAGCTTTTTGGGTATTGCGCTAGATTTCCAACATACAAGGCATGAACCAAATGTTTCCAATTGATTCAATGGCTCAAAAGGACGACTTAGTTTTTATGAAGGAAACCAGTGGTATCAAAACAAGTAAATCTTTCATTGAGCACTCTATGGCTATGTTGCCCAGATACAGAAATAGCACCAGCATAGACAAAATTCACACTAAAAATTTTGGTGTCTCACATGGATACCACCAATTTGAATGCACTAGGGTAAGCTAACATCAGAAAACTGTCATTAGAATGGACAATGAGCATAAATCACCAAGGCCTGTGAACAAAAGTGACAATATAACAGTCATCAGTAACTTTTCTCTAGTTCACTGTGATGCATGTCTTGATGTTTGTGTATGTTACATTATTGATTATCCCTCAGATTCTCTAGACAAAAAAGTTATGCAGCTCATACTGTCAGACCATCATCATCCAGTCATTTTGGAATGCCACCCATGTGTCATCCAAACTGTCCAAACTAAGACAAAAGGACAGAAAGGATCATGCTGCATGGTCTGACATTGATTCCCTTATCAGTTCAATGACTGGCCGACATAAGGACCTCAAATTAATTAGTGGCATTAAAACCACCACTTTATTTGGCCTCAAATCAAATACTCTAAATGGAACAGGTATGATTGCACATTGCAAAATTTGTTCTGTGCTTGGATCAGATGGATAACCCTTTTTTCACTGCTATAAAAGTACAAGTTGATATTTGAATCCAACATTCATGATCAGAAGACTCTTTTGCTGCGAATAAAGGAACCATGGATATCAAAAGCTTCCCAAAACATGTCCCAGTCTTATGATATAATATTAGTTCCAAAAACACACTGTATTTCACAAGATATGTTAGGTAATGCTCTAATAAGCCAACAGTATCACATGTTAGGGTAGACAAGAATATCAAGATGCCATACCAGGTCTTGTATATAGAAGAAAGTAACTAAGTATACCTTGTCAGGTACAACAACATCCCCTTTCTGATATGCATTTGTTTTCAAGCTTTCGTTCTTGCTCCCTTGTTTCATGTAAAGCCTTTGCAAGAGTTCAGCAGTCATAATCCCATCTTCACGAGCACCAATTGAGGCCTTCCAAGAAAACCAAGTGTGACTTTCAACTCATGAGGAAAAATGCATAAGATGGACAAAAGAGTCTGTGTCCGTGAAACAAAGAGTGGATGTTGTAATAATAGTCAAATTCCTTTTGTTGGTGATTCAACTTTAATGTTCAAAAAACTGTTTTGGTAGAGCAGATTCAACTTAAAACAGGAACACCAAAGTTTGCAACGAGCTTTGCAGACATGGGGCGTTGGAATCTGAAGGTTGTTCCTCATTTATTTGTCCTATGTGGTGCCAAATGGTTCCTCCATGTTTGAAAGAATAAAAAAATATTCTATTTCATGTTCCATGCCAAATCATTTTTCTTTCTCTTTCCCATGAACTTGAAACACACTAAAATTTAAGCTTAAATGCTTCAGCTTAAAACACCCCAGTACCAAATGCCGTCTTTGTGATCATAAATCTTGGCAAAAATGCAATAGATCAAAGATAATACTCACTTGCCAGGTTTTCACAGCACGTTCAGTCCCACTTGAAAAGCTTGAAAACTCCATATCTTCTTCACCCGAATAAAATCCTAATATTAACAATGCTTCCTGCCAAAACACAAGCAACATCATCAAAAAAGATAATTTCAGATCCACCTAATTAAAAGAAGGGAAATTGTCTAAAACTTACCATGAGTTTTCAGCATTTCTCTTAAACTCACAACTTTTCAAAATGTCTAAAACTCACCATGTCAGTAAGTTTTTATTTTTCAAAACTTACCTTCCGTTAGTGCACCATTAATGCTTCTTAACAAAGGTGTCCACATCAGCATAAATAACAATTTTCATGACCAAATTACCCTTTGATGGCGAGTTAGAGGTGATGAAGGGTGATTTGGCCCGACCTAATAATAGGGGGACATGTGGACGTGGCCTAACTAGTAAGATGACAGCTCAGCCCGACATGCCAAGTCCGCAACAGATCGAACTCGGATAATCAAACCACCTCGGGACGAGTTCACCTCGGTGTAAGGTCGGATCAGGACCACTTCGATCCCAAGGCACTTCGGCGTTCACCCCAGGCCGGATCTAAAGAGCGGTAGCTCGGGTAATATTAACAAACCACTACGTGGCAACCCCGAAGATCTCGCCATCAGACTCCGGGCCTTGCGGGATCACGCCGCGTAACAGCTAGCGTTATCTCCCCCGTCCGATTTGGGCGGACTCGATAAGCCCCGTCAGTTATCCCCATTATCGCGGAAACGGACCTCATCATGTCGGGGATCCCGAAACCACTCCGCGAAACCCGCGAGGACTCCACTATAAAGGCTTCACCCCCCGGGGGTGCAAGGTATGTGATTTCCTGCTCTCAAGCTCTCTCATTTTCAAGCAATTTTAGCTCGCTACTAGCCTACTGACTTAAGCATCGGAGCGACCTCGCCAGGTTAGCATCCCGGGGTTCTCTGATATCCTTGTAGGTTCATTCCACTGTCCGTTTGGAAGCCAGGTCACCTCCAGCTGGGAGCAGCCAGATCGCGCTCCATCAAGAGGAAAAGGGTCTTTTCAGTTTTCAATTTTCATTTTTATTTTATTTTTTTGCATTTTAAGTGTTTTGTTATAATTTCCAATGTTTTTTACATTTTTCTATTTTCTACAATCTATAAATTTTCCTGTATTTTTTTGTTATTTATTTGCAAATTTCTGTGCTTTTCAATAATTTTTGGTGTTTTTCTACAATTTTTATTTTCTCATTTTGTTTTTCAATTTCTATAGTTTCTATAATTTGAAAATAATTTTTTATTTTGTTTGCAATTTCTATAATTTTTTGAAATTTCTGTGTTTTATGTATTTTATATTTGAAAATATTTTTTGAACTTTTTCCTGTTTTTCATGTCTAATTATTAAAATATATGTATATATTTTATATTTTTCTATGAAGGTTAAAATGGTAATATATTAACACCCGTTAGTTTATTTAATGTCAAGTTAGTGACATGGTGAGTTTTAGACATTTTGAAAAGTTGTGGTGAGTTTAAGAGAAATGCTGAAAACTCAGGGTGAGTTTTAGACAATTTCCCTTAAAATAATAACGCCATATGTGCATTAAAACACATGACAAACAAAAAGAGTGTCCCGATAATTATAGCTCAACCCTAGGCTAAATTTTCTTCCACTGATTGGATGATTGCACACAGTGGATAATGATAAGTAAAGCAGCACAAATTTATGGCAAAATCTGGATGTCTTAATAAAAACAGTCTTACTTCTCGCTTCTAAATAGAGCACATATAAGGTACTTACAGATCAGCTCATTCAACATAAAATTACATATTATAACTACCCTGCATAATAAAAAATCATGAAACAAATTTCAGTTCATCTTTCTCAGGTACTAATGTATCTTATGGTTATGATTTAATTTATATATACACCCCACCGTTTATACACTTACCTATCTAATGACAGAGAACTTTTTTATGCTCTCTTACTGTCTCTTGTATTTCAGATGGTTTTAAGCTTAACATTCAATCCTCAAGTTCATGTTGTTTCCGGACAAATTGATTCAACATCCTTCAAATAATCAGAAGTATGCTTCCTCAAGAATATTTTAGTGTATTTAAAAACATATTACAGTTCGCGTATAAGAATATTAAATTTCAAAAACCTTTTAAATGAAAACTAAACAAACTAAAACTCGCCTTTTCTTTCTTAAATTTCACAGAAGAAATGCATTTCGCACGCAGACCTGCATTGCTTGAACGTCTTCGCCTTCTGATCCCATTCTCAAGGATCGAACCTCCTTCACCTTTTCCTGCTTTTCCTCCTCTTTGTTCTCTTTGCTGCTCTCCAACACCCTAACTTCCTCAACAACCGTCTCCTTCACCTTCTCGCTATCCAGTCCCAATAGCATTGGCGTCGGCCCTGAACCACTCTCGGCAATTCGATGTTGCTTCGGCGAATTCAGCTCGGCATCCTTCAGTGTCTGCAGGAGCGACGCGATGTTGGCAACTGTCTCCGACATTGAAGCTCCTTGCAAAGAATTCTGGCGTTCTAGGGCTTCAATTTGCAGTTTCAACTCAGAGATTTCTCGGAGGAGCGCTTCCCGCTCCGAATTCCAGCGCGATTCTTCACGAATCCACCGTTGCTCTTCGCGGAGCCACCGTTGTTCTTCTCTGAGCCATCTTATTTCTTCTCTGTCCCAATCCGACGTATTCGAAGACGATGAAGAAGCGAAAGCTGGAAATCTCTTGAGGGGGAGTGAGGAGAACTTGCGGATTTGAAACGGGGTGAATTTGAGCTTTGAGAGGTTTCGAAGCCCGTGAGATAGGACCGGAGGTGGCTGAGGAGGGTGGAGTCGGAGAGGAACGGAGGACGCCATAGAAGCCGAATGAATTCGAGAGAGGGAGGGGAGATGTTTTAGTGTTCGAAGGTTTGAAGTTTTGAAGTTTTGAGCCACACGTCCGTCTCTGTGTTTGGGTGGCGGGACTCTAAAGTACGCCGAGGGAGCGATGACCTATGGCAAGGTTTTAAAAATCGATTCGAAAACGGAATCGTTCTGATTAACGGTTTTCGGGTCAGCGGTTTGACCGTTCGAATTAAACGGTTTCGGACGGTTTGCATTAGGGCAAATATTTATCATATAAAATTTATATAAGAAATAGAGATGGCTGAGAAAGAAAAAAGTAAAACAAGAAAAGAAGGAAAGAAAGAAAGGAAGGAGAAAGGAAAAATTAAAAAGGAGAGAGGAAAAGAATGAAGGAAGAAGGAGGAGGAGGGAAAGAGGGAAAAAGAAGGAAGAGGAGGAGGATTCGATGCTCACTGGTGACAATAATGGTGACAGCGACGGGAAGGCGGTGGCAACAGGCATAGATATCAGATCTCAAATCTGAGATTGATTTCTCTGCAACTTTGTAATCTTCTTCTTCTACTTCTTCTTCTTCTTCTTCTTCTCTCTCTCTCTCTGTGTGCTGGATCTCAGATCTGAGTTTATGTCTTAGATCTATCCTCTACTGCAAGTTTCTTAAATCGCGAGTCGCTGTCCGAGTCAAATGACTCAACGGTTCAATTGCTCAAGTCAGCAATTTTCTGACCAAGTCAATGATTTTTGACCCAAGAACAAGTTAAGGGTGAAATGGAACCAGTTGCTTGGATGGTTTTTGGGCTGAACAATCTAATTGTCCAAGTCAACAACAGTTCAAACATTGCCTATGGGTTCGGAATGTTTGGAACTTTGGAGTTTGGATCCTTGTGTTCAAATCTTGAATTTAGGTGCGGTTCGAGTTAGATCGGGTCCAGGTCAACCATAATTTCACCAAAGTTTCCAAACCCAAGGTTCAAAATATCGATATTTTTTTACTAATTTTTTTAATTTTTTTTCAAAACTAGTTTATGGGACCGATTTAAGGCTCCTCCACCCCCTGAACCGGTCAAAACCCCGATACACCCTCTGTAGGAGCATATCGGGGAGCTCTCGAAAGATACGTGACAATACATTGAACCTTGGTCGAACCTGCATTGGGTTTAGGCTTTGTTTTTTTTTACTCCATGGGGATGGGGCTACACAACAGGGTGCTCATCCCCCTAGCTCTAGGACTGGTAAAGTAGCAAATTCAAAGAGGGGTTTGTAAATTCTAAATCCTACCCGCCTTTGTAAACCTCCCAATTTGTATCCGCCCCAAAACTTATAGTAGGTTGGATTTTGAGAATCCAAATCCTTCTCGTACATGAAAATGCATAATAACCCTTCTTGACCCTATCCTCCATGCATTCAAGGGTAGAGTAGGTTGGGTTTAGAATCTGCATCTAATTTCCTATTATTTTTTGTTATATATAAATAAAATAACATGAGCAAACAACAAATTTTCCCATTATTTGATTAAAACATGTAAAACACATAAATTATTAATTGTCCTTCATATAAAATTCAAAATATTATTAAATTCAATATCTATACACAAAGCTCATATGCTTTCCAATAATATATGAGTCAAGTTTTGCCTAATACCATGCCATATTCATACACTACAATAGAATTCCAAAACCCATCATCACCCCAAAATCTGTTCTTCAAACAAAAAAAAGAAAAAAAAAAAAAGAAAAAAGAAAACTACATCCCAAACCCATAAATCCATAACCCCCAATCCTAGGTATTAAATGGGATTCAACCCCAAGTCTCCACTATTAAGACTTCCAACTACAAACTCTTCCCACAACCCTACACATAGAGCACTACAAGCGTGCATTGGCAGTAGTGTACTGTGAATTGTGAGAACCCTACACATAGAGCACTACAAGTACAAGCGTGCATTGGTGATAGTGTAATGTGAATTGTGAGTCATATTCCTGGTACATAGTGATAGTGTCTTAAGACTTCCGTCAAGACAAACCCAAGCCGAATTTGTGGGTAAAAAGGAGGGAGTTTGTAGGTAGGAGCCAGTTGGCACCTTGCAATTTCTTTTTATTATTATTATTATTATTCTACCGTTTTTGTTATTTCTTCTATGTTAGTGTTTAGTTTTATTGTTAGTGAATGCTATATATTTTATTATATAGTTTTAAACCTATTTTGTGTTATGTATTTCATTTTATATTTGCAAATGTATGTTTACTTTTATATTTTAGGGAAAATTCCACTTTAGTACCCTTAATTTTGGTAAGTAGTGTCAAGTTAGTACTCAAACTTTCAAACGTGTCACTGCAATACCTCAACTTTCAAGAAGTGTCAAAATACTAATCGCTGCCACTAATTAACCGTCAGTTATATATTGAAAACGTTAAAACTACCCTTCAAAAGAAGGCATTGTTCATTGTCTAATATCTTGAGACTGAACCGGCCGAGGTGTTTGAGATTCTAGACTAATGAAGTCATTGTCTTCTACCTTTAGACACATTCTTATCTAGTAATTTCTTTGCTTTTGGTTATTGTTTCCCTCTATCATATTTCATTTTTTTTCTCTCTTTTTCTTTGAAGATAACCGATTCAGTCTCAAGGTAGAAGATAATGAACAGTGTCTTCTTATGAAGGGTAGTTTTGACTTTCTCACTAGATAACTAATAGTCAGTTAATGGGAAGGACCAACTTGGCACTTTTTAAAAGTTTAGGTACTGCAGTGACACATTTGAAAGCTCGGGCTAACTTGACACTACCCCCAAAGTTCAGAGTATTAAGTGGAATTTTCCCTATATTTTATGTTATACTTAGTTATTAATCAAAATAATAAAAACTTATGTACTAATAATGTATTTATCTAATAATACTTGCATTATTTTTTTTGAATTAATTCACTTAATTAGTTTAATTATCATAACTAAAAATATGAAATAATTTTAATTGTTTAATCTGAAACAATCAATATAATTTTACTTTATCTCAATTTATTGAAATTAGCTTATTAAAAAATAAGGATGAATTATTTAAACCACCACTAAGTTTTGATTAGTATAGGAAATATCCTTCAAGTGTCAAATAATTAAATATGCAAATACATCTCTTCCATTTAATTTCAATAAATAGAGATCTTGAAATTACAACAATTTAACTTAATTAACCTAATTTATTTAACTAAGATAGTTTATTTAATTAGATGAATTAACTTGATTATCTTATTTAGGTTAACTTATTATCAATTACTCGATGTACATAGCTTCATTTAGCTAATGTATTTATCTCATGCATTACACGAGGCCCTATTAGTATAACATTAAATAAATGGATAGATCTCAAATGTTAGGATTGGCTTGAGCCTAGCCACTAGCCAGAGAGGTATAATTGGGACTATGAACAAATGGATCAAATTTGGGTATTGTATTATCCAAATACTATATCATAAGGATTGAAGTGATTTGTATTCGATTCATTTATTGGATATTCAATTCAACATATAAAATTAGTATAAATTTGTATAAATATAAAAACAAAAATATATATTATAAAAATAATTTGGATTAGTTGAACGTAAAGGTTGTATAGTGGGTGATAGGGATGGCATTTCTTCAATCTTAAACGGCCAAGATGGGGTAGGAACGGGAAAAAATATTTTTGTCCCAAATCAGGGATGGGCCAGGGTTGAGAATTATATTTAAAATGCCCCAAATCCAATGGTAAATAATTAAAATACCCCTAAGTTTAATATTAATTTCTACTAATTTTTTCCCAAATTCCTAAAACCCTAGGATCCCATAACCCCATTTCAAAAATAGCCTCAAATTCCTATAATGCTATTTCTAAAATATTCCCTAATTTTGATGTATTTTTAAGTGGTTGCCTCAAGACAAGAAAAATTCAAGGATTCCCCATCCCCAATAAAGAGGAGGTGCCCTGCCCCAAACCCACCTTACCACTGAGGATGGGGCAAGGATGGGGTGAGGGATTTTGGYTACATGACGAAGATGGGAAGGGGGTGCCCTGCCCCGTTGCTATTCCTAGCTGTGGAACCAATGATAAGTTGATAGCACCCCATGTCAGTTATAAAATTCTTGGGGCCTGCAGTGAGAGGCTGAGTGGTTATGGGCCCACGTATTTTATGACTGGTGTGAGGCATTACCATTGGTTCTACAGCTCACTGAACAATTATTGCATTCAGCTAATCCCTATCTCATATAAAATTAAAAAAAAAAAGTTTATCTAAATCCCAAGTCCCACTTAATTCTAAAGAATTTTGATACTAAAAATAATTAGATTGGATCAAGCAATATCCAGATTGCGTCCAATTAATAAATGGATCATATTTTCATATCCAATAGATCCAATTATGGCTAAGCCAATATTCGAATCCAATGTAAGCAAATTGGATTAAATCCAATCCATTTGCAACCCTAGGATGCAAGACTGCAAGCCAGGCCAGATAGATTGGGTGAGGTAAATCCTAATGCTAAAATTCCAACACTATGGGGGTGTTTGGTACAGTGGCATTGTATTGTCATTGCGTTTTGAGTTTATCAATATAAATTTGTGAGAAAAATATATTGCCGCATCACAGTGTCATTTTAATTAAAAAATGCATGTTAAAAGCATCAAATTTGATGTTTTATATTGAAATAGCAATTGTATTCATCAACTCAAAACATTTGATGTAGAAAAATCTTTTTTAGACAAATTTGTATCGATCAACCCTAACATCAAATTCGATTGAGTTCTCTCCTCTCCTCCGCTGGGTACGGATTTGCTCAATTTCATATACGGATTGGTCCATTATGGTTGGATTGGGCTGGGTTGGGTTGCCCACGTCTCAACCAAAAGTTAAACTTTGATATATTTTTGTTTCAAATTTTAACTTATTTTGTTTGACTGTAGTACAAATGAAGTAAATTAAGATAAGACGCAGAGTAAATTAAGATAAGAAGCAGAATAAAGTAATACTCAAAATAAAATTAAACAAGAATTTGCATTTTTTTCATTTACACTCCTATACATTTGTACTAGTGCAAATAAAATTGCATTGCAACCAATGGCAAGGCTTAATGTGAAAAGAGTATAAATACAAATATATACAATACAAAACCTTATATTTTGTGTTACTATACTTGTATTTTCACAGTACATATTTGCATTTAAACTCTTCCCATTTTCCCAAACTGCAAATATGTACAGGTTTATAAATACCAAACTAAAAAGAGAAGAAACAACATATTTTGAAGGACAAACTACATATCATACACTCTTTCAAAACTTACTGAGTTGATCAACAGTGATTGAACTCTGACACTGAAGCCCTTTACTGAGATTCAAATGTATTACAGCATGTTGAGTTCAGAAGTGATTGATAATTGTTATAGCCCTATATTAATTAGATCCAAACTCAGGCTCCAGAATTGTACATACACATGCAGAGCTGAATCTCAAAAGAAATTCAATTGTCTCTGTCAAGGCGTTGCATGCATCCATGCCCTTATCTGTGAAGGATCTTTGGTCACTTTTCTCAGACAGAGAAGCACATACGCCACAATCCCGCACACAAACCCAAGCGCTGCACTAGATCCAACCAGTGAAACCGAGGTGCACACAAGCATCACGAATGACTCCTCCTTAGAATCCATGTCCCTGGAAGCCATGGCCAGCTCAATCCCAGCAAACAGAAGCAGAACCCCCAGCAAGCCCACAGGAAACTGAGCCAACACCTTCACCAAAGAGGTCCCCAGCGCGAGACCCAACACCAACTTGGCCGCCCCCAGAATCGCCACGCACCCTCCGCTCCTTCCGCCAAACTTATACTGCCCCGCGAGTCCTCCCGCGCCATGGCAGCACGGCATGGCCCCGAACCAGCACCCCACCAAGTTCATCAACCCCACACTTACCGACACTGAAGTCGCCGAGAAGTCCTTCCCCGGAAAAAGATCCGACGACATCTTACAAACTGCGATTACCGAATTCAGCACCGAAAGTGGTAATTGAGGGACTGTGCCCTTGATGAATCCTTGCTTCCAGGCATGCCTAGACATCTTCACCACATGTATACCAGAAGGCCCCAAGCCAATCTCCTTCAGCACTCTAGGCCTCCTTATGATGGCCAAGACCACACCCAACAGAAAAACAATCATGGCTGAGGGTAGAGACACCAGAGCTCTCCAAAACCGTCTCCTTGGAGCTGGTGGCCTTGATTCACCAGGCAACTCGCCTCCAACTTCATCTTCTTCCTTGTCCTCACCTGCACCACTAACAATCACAATAAAGCAAGCACAGACAAGAGCCAAAACCAGGCCATCTAATCCGAACCAGGGTCTATTCCCAGCAGACTTCCCCTTGGAAAGTTGTTGAACGTTTCGAATATACTTTACTGCAGTGAAGGCAAACGACAGACCCTGTGAGAGCTGAATTCCTCGAACAACAGGCAAGGGGATGAGCTTGTACACGAGTCCCATCAACCCCGTGATTCCCAATAAGAAGAGTACCGCCGATGTGCAAATTCCGGCAGCCATGACCTCCGGGATACCAAACTCTGGACCATCGGAAATTGCAACAGCCGCGATGGACTTCATGGGTTGAACTGGCATAGGAACGCCATAGATGGCACCTGTGATAATGTTGTAGATACCAGTGAAGAGAAGCGTTACACCAAGGTTAAGGTCCTTGGCTAGTGTCAAGGCCATAACTATAGGAATGTATGTTCCCAAGTCTCCCATGGCTCCATTCAGTTCCGACCATTTCGAGCTTCGGAAAGCAAGGTTCTCCTTCACCTTGGCCAGAACATTTGTGGGAAAATTAGATCTGAGGGTGTTGCAGCTGGTCGCCGAGTAGTGGTTTTGGTCCTCCATGTCCAGAGAATCTCAACCAAAAAAAGAGCTAAAAAATGAGCCACTGGTTTTTCTTTTTTTTTAATTTATTAATATTGCATAATATATATGCAATTGCAATCTAAATTAAATTCGATTCAAAATAACGAAACCAAATTTGAATCTAATTATATTCCATTTGAGCAAATCCATTTGCAGCCCTAGTATCAGGGCTGGAATGGTGTGATGTGCCACCCTCAGCCACCACTTGTCTGTTTCAAGAAGACTCTTGGGCCCCATATGGGTCCCAGAGGAAGGAGAAAAAAGAGGGCAATCAACAATCAATGGTAGAGATTTTCTCTTCTTTTTGTATCTATTAGGAGTTATTAAATCATGCTGATTTTTTTGCATAAAAAAATCCATTTAAGTAGGACGCCATGAGCAGGTTTTGGTGTGAAAACATTAATGTCTTTTGACTTGTGTAAATGTTGGCTAGTGAGAATTCAATGTTTTTTCTTGTATTCTCTTCCAATTGACTTAAAAAAAGTTTGAGTAATTGGGTCAGGAATTGCAGCAGAGGACAGAAAGGGGAAGGAGATGTCGATTCTTTTTTGTTGGTGTTCTGCTGCTACCCTAGTTCATTCTCTTATTTGGCCCACATATGAATTCATATTATTTCATAAGAACAGAAGGTCAACTTACCCTCCAGGTATACCGTCTTGTTGGGAATTTGGGATATTGTCAATTTTTAATGGGAAAGAATAATTGATTTTAATTTAAAACAATACTGACACACTTTTAGGTTATGTTTGGTTTGAAGAAAAATATAGGGAAAAGAAGGGAAAGGTAAGGAAACCATTAATTGGTTCCCCTGTCTTTTCCTTCTTTTCCCTACCTTTTCTTTTAATGTGACTGTTCTTCAATAGTAACCACCAACCAAATCAAAGATCCAACTTTATAGTTAAATCCGGACAAGACAATTTTTCGAGGAGGAGATATTGTTTGCTCTTAAGATCAAGGTTCAAAATTTTGTTACGTATCGTCCCGTATCGTCCGATATGTATCGTATCTTTGAGGTTTCAACATGGGAAATGGTATCAAATCCTTAGTACTATTTCTTTTCGTCATGTCGGAAGTGTATCATGCCCGTATCAGTAGCATTTTGGTGAGTATTGGCCTATTTCGCTGTTGTATCGTCCAATATGCTACCGATACAATGCGATTTTACTGTTGCAGAAAACGGAAAAAAAAATTATTCGAAAGAAGGCTTCTAAACCCATTTCAGAAGCCTTTTTTCTTCCCTAAACCCTCTAGAAACCTTTATACCATTCCTAGAGATTGAAATCTAGCCAAAATCCACCAAAACAGCCACAAATTTGCAAAACTTGCAAAACAAGTTTTGCACGATTGTTAAAAAATAAGCGAAAACATGTATGTTTTTTCATTTTTTTACAATCTCAGCCAATGCTTTTGTGTTTTTTTAGTTTGGATTCTTAGAAACATCTTGTGTATGTTGATATGTTATTCTTTGTGCAAAAAATCCCACTTATTTTGCTCCTATATGTAGATCTTTGTGAATATTTGAAAAAATTCTAAAATATTAAAAATCTGAAAGAAATGAAAATTTTAGGTTTTTCTTATGATCTACCTCTAAAAATTGATTATGCTGTAGATCTATGGATGATCTACCATGTCCATAGATAAATTGAAATTTCTTCTAAATAATTGATTTTTTTATTTTATTTTATTTTCAAAATAATATATAGATAATTTCTTTGATTTTATGTGATCTAACCCTATAGGTTGAGTATGTTGTAGAGCTAAGACTGACATAAATATATTGAAATATCATGTGAAAATTTTAATTTTTTTTTTATTTTTTATTTTTAGACTATAAATATTTATTTATTTCTCTAATTTTTTTCTATGATTTAAATTCTAATAATAAATATTTACAATAAATATATGGATGATCTATATGTCCATAAACCCATTTAACTTTTTGTAACATATTTACTTTTTAAATTTTATTTTAATTTTTAGAATAAAACATTCAAAATAATTATTTGAATAAAAATAAATAATTATTTAGTTCTTAGAATGAAACAAGCAAAATAAGTATTTCATCTATTATGTCCATAAATCCATTCAATTTTTCTGTTACATATTTACTTTTTTAATTTTAATTTAATTTTTAGAATAAAACATGCAAAATAATTATTTGAATAAAAATAAATAAGGATCCTGAGTTCGGCTTTGCAAGGAAGGGTAATGTCAAAGGCCTTGGGTGAAGACCCAAGGCAAGGGCTTCGACAATCAAGTCAGCAAGAAGGTACGAGGTGGACGAGGTTTGAGGTGCGAACACACAGACGGGGTCACAACAAGAAATCTTGAGAGTGAGCTAGAGAGATAAAGTGTTTGATCCTTTTCCTAGAGGGGGTTGCCTCCTATTTATACTTGAGGTCGCCAGGGGGCAGGTGACCCTAGACAGCCTGGATGTAGTCCGTACCGAGGGCACGATCATTTGGGAGCGCCAGGTGAGGGCACATGATTGGTTCTGTGAGGCTGCCAATCCCAACCTAGCATGTGCCCTGATCGGTCTAGCGCAAGGTGTTGACTTTGACTCTGCCCATGACCCGATTAGTTCCGCTCTGTGCTTTGCCACTTGACGTGTGTAGGCTCGCCATTGGCCCAGCTGAATGCGCCTACATCATTTTCCCCCCACTCCCAAGGTCGAGGTGGGGGTTCGAGATAGGAGGGGCACTGACTTCGGCCGAATGGAGTGCATTGTCTCGTACTAGGAGGTGCCGGTGGACCTGTGTGCGTCGTGGCCTAGGTGGCATCAATATGCCTTTGAACTGTGAGGATGGCCGAGGCTCATTTAGGGCCTCAGCTCAGTTGCACCTGTAGAGGGGAGGCTTGGCTTCAGCTCCGAGTTTGTCATGGCGCAAGTTGGGTGAAAGAGAGGTTTGCCCCCCCAATCTTGTGAATGTTGGGTGTGTATCACAAGTCCTCGGCTTTGGTTGAGGGTGTCGAGGAGGAAGCGCAAGGGTGCCCAAGCTGGTGACTTGGTTGCTTTGTGACGAAGTCTTTATGCAGTGCCATGGGTCATGAAGGAAGTGGTTCCAAGAGCCAGATTCGGGTCACATTGGTCACAGGTCCCCGAATCGGTGAGTTGGAGGCCAAGCCCTCTATGGGTTGCTAAGTCGTTGTCGTAGGAAGGATGGGATGCGGGTGAGCTAGACCGCGCTTTTGCTGAGTTAGCACGGTTGGGTTGACTAGTGAGTCACGATGAGGAGTTGCTTTGGTTCGCCCGGCATCGTTTTGTCTACCCGAGGCAGGCGACGCGTGTCAGTCAACAGATGGGGTAGCAAAGGCAGTCGTTCGTCAATCGTTGGATCCCGTGCAATCTAGGCCATCCATTTTTCTTTAAATAGGGGCCTTGGCTTCGACCGTCACTTGTTCACTAATGTCTTTGCTTCCAAGAGTTTCCTGCTTCCCCAGAGCCCTTGGTTTCAATTGCTCGCCTTCATCTTTGTCGTCCTCGTCTTCTTCGTGTTGTTTGGTACTGATTCTTTTCTCTTGTAGAGATGCTAATGGACGCCAAGAGGCTGCTACTGGAGAGCGCCATGGCTAGGAAGAAGGGCCAGGCAAAGGGCACCTCGGGGGGGAAGATTCCCAGGAGAGTGGTCATGGTGCCTCCCACAAGGGTGGAGAGGGGGTCTGCACCTACCAGGGGGACCCCATGTTCGTAGGCCCCCACTGGTGGGGGCGATAGAGGGAAGAAGAAGGCCAAGGAGGATCAGCTAGGGAAGACTGGCCAGAAAAGGCCAGCCAGGGTGCCGCCAACACCTCTTGCGAAGAAGCCTGCGCACAAGGACAGCCCAACTGAGGGCAATGTACCAAGGAAGGGGGCTCCTGCTGCTCTAAGGAGGCCGCCTGCAAAGGGGCCCACCACCGGGCCCTTATCTACTCCTCCCTCTACTTCCAAGCCCACCGAGGGGGGGAGTGCTTGAACCATCTCTTCCACCCCAAGTGAGGTGTCCGCGAGGGGGACTCCACTGATACCAAGGGCATTGGCAGGGCCCTCGTCAAGGGGATGGTCCCTCCGAGGACTGCTTGGATATGATGCAGATGGACCCCCTTGTCACCGCCGACGAGGGGATGGACTTCTTGTCCGAGGTGAGTTTCCTTCTCTTTTTGACATGATGCGTGCTAGTTTTTACTGGCTTTACTGATGGTGTACTTGGTGCAAGTCTGTCGTCACTATGTCAACCTCAGTGACCACATTAGCTTCCTTCTCAAGCTTACGGCTCGACTTGAGAAGAAGCATGGTTTTCAAAACCAGACCGGACCGGACGATCAAACTGAAAAAATCGGGAATCGGTCACCTGACTGGTTCCGATTTTCCCCAAAACCATTGATTTTGGTCAGCAAACCACTGAACCGGCCGATTAACCAATCGAACGGCTTTGATTGTTTTTTTATTTTTTTTTGTTAGAATGGAATGGTCGAACCATTCAAACCGATAACCGGACCCCTGACCGGTTCAATCACTGGTTCGGTTTTAAAAACCATGAGAAGAAGAATAAACAACTTTAGGTGCGGGTGGCTTCAGCAGAGAGTAGTCGAGACGAGACCCTCGCATTGCTAAAGGAGAAGCTGCTCCGGTAGACGTTGGAGGATGACTTAAAGGCCGAAAAGGCTCCCATCGCCAGGGCCGAGGACCGATTGAGGAGGTCCGAGGAGAACAAGACTCGCCTCGATGGGGTTGCTCTCGAAGCCTAGAGGGAGGTTGCAGGCGCCATGGCTCAGGCAGCAGAGGTTAAGGCCATGGTAGCGGAGATCAAGGTGAAATACCGGGACGTTGTCGCTGTTTGGCAGCAAACCCCGGAGTACCAACAATGCCTGGCGCACTATGGATCCGCGGCCTACTTGGAGGGGATTAACGACACCAAGAAGGCTCTTCTGAAGATGGCATCGAACTTCCCCATTGACTAGTTGCAGATTCTCCCTGACTCTCTCGCCCCTGAGGACAAGGCCAAGGTTGCAGACTCGGGGGTCTAGAATCCTGCCATTCCTCTAACCGAGGGCGAGGCCTAGCCAACTTC